TTAGTCAACCAATTGCACTCCGCAAAGGTGTACGGTCCACACTTAATCCTAATCCCCACTATGCTGGTCTAAGTTATCATCGTCTGTCGTCACCTCATTTTGTTTTTATATCTTCTTTGTCCACTGTTTCTATTCCTAAGTCTACAGGTGAGGCACTATCTCATCCTGAATGGCGACGGCTATGATTGACGAGATGTCTGCTTTACATGCGAGTGGTACTTGGGAGCTTGTTCCTCTTCCTGCAGGTAAGTCTATTGTTGGTTGTCGTTGGGGTTATGCAGTCAAAGTCGGCCCGGATGACCAGGTTGATCGGCTTAAGGCTCGTCTTGTTGCAAAAGGATATACTCAGATTTTTGGGCTTGATTATAGTGATACTTTCTCTCCCGTGGCTAAAGTAGCATCTGTTCGTCTTTTTTTGTCCATGGTTGTTGTACGTCATTGGCCTCTTTATCAGTTAGACATTAAGAATGCTTTTTTCCACGGTGATCTTGACGAGGAAGTTTATATGAAACAACCACCTGGTTTTGTTGCTCAGGGGGAGTTTAGTGGTTGTATATGCAGATTGCGCAGGTCACTCTATGGTTTGAAATAATCCCCTCGAGCCTGGTTTGGTAAGTTCAGCACAATTATTCAGGAGTTCGGCATGACTCGTAGTGAGGCTGATCACTCTGTGTTTTATCAGCATTCTGCTCCGAATCTGTGTATTTATCTGGTGGTTTATGTTGATGATATTGTTATTACTGGCAACGATCAGGATGGTATTACTAATCTGAAGCAACATCTCTTTCAGCACTTCCAGACTAAGGATCTGGGCAGACTGAAGTATTTTCTAGGTATTGAGGTCGCTCAGTCTAGCTCAGGTATCGTTATTTCATAGCGGAAGTATGCCTTAGACATTCTTGAGGAGACTGGAATGATGGGTTGCAGATCTATTGACTCTCCTATGGATCCGAATGCCAAGCTTCTGCGTGGACAGGGGAAGCCTCTTAGAGACCCTACGAGATATAGGTGGTTGGAAAATTGAATTACCTCACAGTTACTAGACCTGACATTTCTTTTCCGGTGAGTGTTGTAAGTCAGTTTATGAATTCTCCCTGTGATAGTCACTGGGATGCAGTTGTTCGTATTCTTCGGTATATAAAGTCTGCTCCAGGCAAAGGATTACTATTCGAGGATCGAGACCACGAGCAGATTGTTGGGTACACAGATGCTGATTAGGCAGGATCACCTTCTGATAGACGATCTACATCTGGATAGTGTTCTAGTGGGAGGTAATTTGGTCTCATGGAAGAGCGAGAAACAAAATGTAGTTGCTCGATCTAGCGCCGAAGCGGAATATCGGGCCATGACTATGGCAACGTGTGAGTTAGTTTGGGTCAAGCAGTTGGTCAAGGAGTTAAAGTTCGGAGAAATCAGCAGGATGGAACTAGTGTATGATAACCAAGCTGCTCTTCATATTGCGTCAAATCCGGTGTTCCATGAGAGGACTAAACACATTGAGATCGACTGTCACTTTGTCAGAGAAAAAATACTTTCAGGAGATATTGTTACAAAGTTTGTAAAGTCGAATGATCAACTAGCAGATATTTTCACTAAGTCTCTTACTGGCTCTCGTATTATTTACATGTGTAACAAGCTCGGTACATATGATGTGTATGCACCGGCTTGAGGGGGAGTGTTAGATATGTAGTCTTGTCCCACATTGGAATAGGAGTAGTATGTCCTTGTATAGTATAACTATAAATAAGGACCTCTTGTATTGTATTAAACACACAATATATCAATACATATCATATTTTCTCCCGTGCCTTCTCACAGTTAGTAGTGTATAATTGCCACAAAAATTTAATTGTAAATTTCTGTCTTAAAAATCTTGATATCTTTTCACTAAATTCAAATGTTAGGGGCGTGTAAGCTCTAGTACCAGATTGTATTAGTATAATTCTAGAGGTTTCTACTCTAAACAGATAAGGACCACTTTCCATCTGTGAAATAATAGATCATTAGTAACATATAAGACAAGGGGTCCTATATACTCTTTAAGCAAAATCACGTTTACACAAAGACGTTGAGAATACATTGGAGGAGCAGGGGTTAGTATATGGATAGTAAAATTGAACTATTGGTTTGCTGGTTTATTACGTTTTCCAATTTCTGAAGATTATACAGTCTTTTATTCTTCTAGGGGCTTGACAAATCATGGTAACCATGTTCATATATACATATGGGATGAGCTCTTCTTCCATTTCAGCTATTTCATGTTACTGTTGCCACTACTACTTAAATTGGAATGCACAATCACTAGGTTCTATATATACACACTTGTTCTTTGTTTTTTAATCTTTTATGTAAGTCTATATATATATACTTGATTCTTAAGGTTTGTTTGTCTTGTCCAATTTACAGTTAAGCCCACACCAAGTACTTGAATCACGGTCAAGATTTCGTGAAGCTCCACCTCAAAATTTACCTCAAGTGAAGTTTCAAGATATTGACGGATTACATGGAGTTCTTGTAACACTTTACCATTTACTGAAACTGCTCTCGAGCCATGGAATAAAATCTACATGTGAGATGCTTGAAGAAAAACTGCAAACCAATAAGTGGGTTTTTTACAATAGCATCCTCCAAATAACATACCGCCCCAATGTATTTCTTATATAATGTGACGTTATTCCATTGACCAGCTGCATCCAAGATATTATCATATACGTGTCATGCAGTTATTTTCACCAGTTTTGTACAACTTCTACCTCTTCTTTCTGAAAATTTCTTGTCCGTTTTCTTAATATGTACGTGTCATTTACAGGTTATTTGGACGACATATGAGCAGAAATGAAATTCTTTTGAAAGCAAAGCATTTAATGCAGCAAGTTGTATCTCATGGTGCTCCTAGTCCTAAGTTATCAAAAATGCTGGAAATACTCACCAATCATTTCAGTATGTTACACATCGCAGTGTTCTGTTTCTTTAAGTATTTGTTCATTTTAATTGTTCAATGAGCACCCTGTTTGTCCATACATGCACGCAAAATGGCTTTAAAGCTTGTTTTAATGGGTTTCCGGTTCATATTTTATAAATGAAATTTGATTTTCATCAATAGGTTCGGGAGTTTGGGTATGACATTTGATTTTTTTAAATCTGCAAATTGATTTAGGAAGCTTGTTGGAAGTTGTATATTTTTCCATGTCATAGTAACCACAATAGAAAGAGGCAAATCTAGTGACAGACACATAATCAACTATTATCCTTCAAGTTTTTGGAGAATTATGAGCTAGTTTCATTGTTTCTAATTAAGCTTTTGTTACTTCTTTGGCATATTTTTCAAACTTAACTTTGTTGTTTAGTCCTAGGGACTTCTAGGTGGGCTAGTAGTAGTACATTCTTCCTCCATTTCCCTCTTTCACAAAGCCAACATTTTAACTTGTTTCTTTTGTTACAGTCTTAGCTGTTCGTAAAATTGTTGAACCATGTCAATAAAAGATAAACCCCAAACATGTTTGGGACTGAGGTGTGGTTGTCTTATGTCATCAAAAGATAAATGTTGTCTGCTGATAACTTTGTTCCCTGAGCGGGAGCCTTAAGGTCGCCAAAACAACCATAGAAGAAATTTAGGCCATAGATATATGATTTTGTAATAATTCTTTAATGAACATTGATTTTCACGTTAAAAGACGAACCATGAATGTCTTATGCACATGTTTTGGTGGAGTATCAGCTTCGGGGGTATATTTGCCCACTAGAAAATGACAAACCAAAGTCAAGTTGACTGACAGAAGTGAATATGAAGCATTATTGTTTGCTATTGTGGATTTGAAGTTCATTTGTAGCTTATGGTGCAAACTAGAGTACAGTCAAATATTGGCTAGCGATTTATATTTGGAATGCAGCGAATAGGTATCTCACTCAACCTTTTCTGAGTGGGCTCTAAATTAGCAAGAGGAAATGTCATTTCAAGTGCAGATTGTCAATTGACAGAGATTGGCTTTAGTCTATGCTATGGAAAGTGTGGGGTCCTTGTAATATCAGATACTAAGTAACTAATAGTTTTATAATGTTATTACCAATTCGCGGACCTTATTTTTCATAGTCCTTCTTCATATAGTCAACTATAGTTCTAGGGCTTCTACCTCCTTAAATTTGATAGAAGATGTAGTTTTTTATGATGCTGGAATTTATCATAATCAAGCCGATGGTAGTTAATTATTTAGGATTTTCTTTTATCTTTTTCATAATTTCTCGTTTGGACTCTGGACTTGCTCATAGTAAATATAGCACTCCTGTTTTCGTATTTTCTTTGATATTTGTCCATCTGTTGCAGATAACAATGATCCTAAAAGTTCAAGGGTTATTGTTTTCTCAAATTTTAGACAAAGTGTCAGGTGAAGCCTACATCAGATCCATTCTCACACTTCAATTACTTGATTGCAGCAGTTGGATTCTTTTTACTTTTGAATTCTGAAGGCCTGATTTTGGTTGCAGTGACATATTGCTTGCTTTGAGGAGTTTACCAGATTTTGTTAAAGCTACTGAGTTCATTGGCCAAAGCTCAGGTAACCCTGCCCTATACATTTCAGTGGATCAACTTCCTACTGCATTGGTACTTCATCTTTTTCTTCGTTAGACAACGGATATTTCCTCTTCGAAAAATGCTGTCAGACTGTTCATGTCAATAACGTTAAGAGGTGGACTGGTAATTTCTCCTTATGTGTTTGTTATTATTACCATGTCTGCTGGAATTCAAGGTTTTACATAGCAGTGGCTGCTATTTTTGATGGTATAAGTTGGTCTTCTATCATAATTACAATTTTCTAAACATCTGCTCTAAAGTACCACATATTTATTGCTATTTTCCTGTGTGCTACAAGTTACTACATGATAGAACTGCATCTTTTGGTAGTGGTGTGAGCTTTGGTGCAAGGCCCACAACCAATATGCTTGAGCTACAGAATTTAAGAATGAGTCCTCTAAGCTTGATGATACAGCTATGCAGTATAACTAATTCTCTTTCCCTCCCCTTCAAAACAGAAGAGTAACAGAATGACGTTATATGCTGCCGGAATGCATGATGTAGCCAAAATAAGCTATGATAAGTGTGAGCGAAATTTAGTTTCTGTGCTTTAATCTTTATGACAAAGTTTGTAGCCTCAGTGTTGTAAAAGGCTCACTTGAGATGCGTTTAGTGCCGAAGTTAGGTGACGCTCAGATAGGGCCCTTCGGTACATGAACCGAGGTACTAAGGCAAATGCCTAATAGCCCATGGATCGTCTTTAAGAGGGCAACACTAGATGATAAGTATCTGGCGATGTAATTATATTAATTGTTAACAAAACTTTATGAGCGAATTTTTTAGTGATTAGGTATATAAGAAATTAGAAATTTAGTATCAGAAAACAAGTCGGACATCTCATTTGTTGTTTGTTCAACTTTAGGTATATAAGAAATTAGAAATTTAGTATCAGAAAACAAGTCGGACATCTCATTTGTTGTTTGTTCAACTAAATGCTCCCAGGCACAGTCCCCTAGGACACTCTCTCTCCTACTTTCTAGGATTGTAGAGAAACTTTTCGGCGTCCTGATCTTGCCGGAACATCCTCTTCTTTCTTAAAATCCAAATATATCCTACTGTTTCATTGAGTAAACTAGATTTTATTTTATCCAAATCAGCATTAGTATGAAGGAAAACATTATATACTTTGCGGTGGAGTTCAAATCATACGAGATAGAGAGACGTACAACAAGTGCTGAAGAATGGTTTGAATGGATAGAACATGGAAGGAACCTAATCAGAAGGACTACATTTAACAGAAAAATAATGTTTTGGTTATGTGAAACATGAAAGAAGCGTCAAAGGTGAAAGGGAATTATGTGAAAAGGTGAAAAGGCAAAGATCAAACATCAGAGACATACTGTGCAAGAAATTTCAACAGGTATGGTCGTTATATTGACATCATTAGGGTAATAGGTAGGGGAAGATCGGTCATTATTGTTCCAGAGGTAGCATTCAATGCAGGGTATTGAATGGCTAGATATTGCAATGAAGATAGAAAGGTTCATTTACCGGGGGGGGGGTGAGGAGAAATGTCTTTAATGCTTATAGAGGTTGAAGGACTCCAATATTCCAACATTGTCAGGAGCCATAAATGGGTAGGTAGAGAAATAAATGATGCAAGAGTTAATGAAGATGGAGGCATCATTCATATATCTGGAAATTATAAGCACAGTGAGCTGCTGGGTAGGTATTTGGTAGGGTTCTTTCCAGAAGGTAGCCCAGAAATGGCAACTTTATCGGAGGTTCGAAAATGTGCCTCTAATTCTTGGAAGCAAATAAAGGAAATCAACATATACGAGATGGACAAGCACATATTCCTCTTTGAATTCCCATCAAAAGCAACAACCGACCAAGTTCTGAAAATAGAATGGTTCTGGAAGAAACTCAAAGTGAAGCTTCAATGGTGGTGTCCAACGTTGGGAACAATTCCAACTTTTGCAAAAATAACGCACGCATGGATAAGGATAGTGGGGCTTCCCCTCCATCTTTGGTCTCAAACAATGTTCAAAGAAATCGGAGATGTCTGTGGCGGTTGAGTTGAAACAGAGGAGTAAACGGAATTAAAAAACCACTTGAAATGGGCAAGAATAAAGGTCAAATGAGATGGTTCTTCAATCCCTAAAATGATGAAGGTGGAATTTGAAGGAATGGTCTTCGAAATGCAGATTTGGTGTGAATCGCCGACGAGAACCACCACTGGTGAAAATGGAGAAGATAAAGGCTTGAACCAGCGGGTAATAGAGTGCAACAAAAGTACAGAGGGAGGGGCTCGAGGTTATAAAGTAATGACATGACACGAGGTTACTTCGTCTAAACCTAGTACCTCACGTGACATGTCATGTGACTTTTTAAACTCTTATAACAAGGCCAAATAGACTGCTGCTTTAAAGAAAATGGGCCCTGATTTATTGGCCCAAACAATTTCTGAAGAAAAGGTTTTTAATAAGCCCACAGCAAGGTCCAGAACTGACCCCTTTAATGAAGAATTAAAAGCCATCCAGTTCGAGCCTCTTAAGGAAGACCACATTCTAGTGCTGGCGAAGGATTTAAGAGACAAAATCAACAATGAAATAACATAAGAAGGAGAGGAAGAAAAGGGAAAGGAAGAAGAGGAAGAAGGAAGAAATCAGATGGTGCTGATCGAGGATAATGAAACAGTAACCGAGGCAGGAATGAAGGAACATCAGTAGAAACAGAGAAGTGCAGCAACATGCAAATACAAGAAGCAGTTACAGATAGGTGTGATGCATGGGCAATAGAAGAAGCAGTGCCTCTAAACCAACAGTCTCTAGAGCTTGAAGAAGACCTAGAGTTTGAAGCATTTATTTGAGTGCACCAGAACATCATAAAACTCAGTAAAGAATTTGGGTTGGACTTCAATGGTTGCGAAAGAGAAGCTTTGGAATTGTTCATGAAAATTGACAGCAAAAGACAAGTAAATAAAGGGAAAGAAGTATCACCAGTGAACTAGACACCAAAGAAAAAGGGAATCAAAGAATTAAAAGGCCTAGGACTAGGAAGTAATTTCAAGAGCAATGTGACAAGAAGTAGGGGGAATCATTATCAGTCAGATTTAATGTTAGTAAACATATTATCATGGAATGTGAGGGGGCTGAATAGGGTAAGGAAAAGGAGAGTTATTAAAAGCTAGTTACTAGAGTGGAAAGCAGATATAGTTTGTCTTCAAGAATCTAAAATTGAAGGGGATATTAGGGAGATTGTTAGAGAACTTTGGGGTCACAGGTGGGTGAAATATACTCAATTGGAGGCTAGTGGGACTAGAGGGGGAATTATAGTTGTTGAGTTATGTCCCACATCGGTGGGTCATGGGTATCTTGGTCACATTATATGGTCTTGGACAGTCTNAGTTGTGTCCCACATCGGTGGATTATGAGTATCCTGGTCTCCTTATATGGTCTTGGGCAATACTCACCTCACAAGCTAGCTTTTGGGGTTGAGTTAGGCCCAAGGTCCATTCTTATCATGGTATCAGAGCTTCAGTGAGAAAATTATCGTTGTGCGTCATTCCAGTGACATCCGGGAAGAAAGATCTCATCGCCGTGCAATTTTCCGGCAGCTTCGTTTTGTTCCCATGGTTCATCACTGCTATAGTGGTACTGTACATATACTAGTACCACCATGGGATTCGAAACCCTTGTACGACCAAACCCTAGAAATTCCAGTCCTATCGGAACAAAAAGTCGGTCACCGTGCATCTTTTCGGTTGACGACTCAAAATTGATTTGTGTTATCTCCTTATCGATAAGTGTCGTACAAAAACCAACACTACCATTTTGTTCGACAGAAAGTTCCTCACGCTCCTCCACGCGCCGTCAGAATTAGGGTTCCGACGAGCTACTTTTCCGGCACATGTGAGCCATTCCGGCCACTTTTTGACAAAACTTCTTTAGGACAACTTACTCGTCCAGTGATTCAGAGCCATGCCCATCCCAATTTATTGTTATAGATGTTGGGCCCCCATTTATATTGTCCACGCTCTAGTTGCAGGCCTAGGTGGGAGGGGGGGGAGATGTTGAGTTGTGTCCTACATCGGTGGGTTATGGGTATCTTGGTCTCCTTATATGGTCTTGGACAGTCCTCACCTCACCTCACATACTCTTACATGTAAATTTTTAGGCAAATCTCAGGATTATATATGGCATATATGAGCTGTATATGCTCCTAATGATAGAAGGAAAAGGGAAGAAGTGTGGTGGGATTTGGCAGGGGCAAGGGGCCTCTTTTTTGGTCCATGGGTGGTGTGTGGGGATTTTAACACTGTGAGATATCCTTTGGAAAAAAAGAATTGCACCAGAATTTCAAGAGGAATGATGGATTTCTCAAATTTCATTGAAGATATGGCGTTGGTAGATATTCAGTTAGCAAGGGGGAATACACTTGGAAGAAAGGGGACAAACATGTTATTGCAGCTAGACTGGATAGATTTTTGATTTCCACTGAATGGAATGAAGATTTTAGAAGCATCAAACAACATGTGATGCAAAGGGAGAAATCAGATCACTTTCCATTGATGCTCAAATGTGGAAGCTGGGAACCAGTCAAATCATATTTCAAGTTTGAAAACTGGTGGTTATAAACTGAGAGATTTAAAGAAAGAATTGAAGAATGGTGGAATTCTTTTAACTGTGAAGGGAGGCCAGACTTTATACTGGTCTCCAAACTCCAAGCTCTAAAGAACAAGCTCAAAGAATGAAGTAGAACCTTGCAAGGCAACCTAGCTTTGCAGAAGGCAAGTGTCCTCAGCCAACTTGCAGAACTGGAAGGAATTCATAATCATAGGAGCCTGACTAAAGAAGAGATCCTCTCAAAGAACTTATTATCCTTGGAGTTTGAGGAGATTGCTAGTAATGAAGAAGTAGCATGGAGGCAAAGGTCCAGGGCTCTATGGTTAATAGAGGGAGACAGGAACACCAAGTTCTTTCACAGAATAGCTAATGCTCATAGAAGATACAATAACATAGATCAACTGTTGGTAGAAGGGGAAACTTTACAGTCTCCAGAAGACATCAAAAGGGAGGTTATCAGATACTATAAGAAGTTGTACACAGAAGAAGAATGGAGACCAATAGGACCCAATAACATCAACCAAATGATCACAGAGGAGGACAATTTAATGTTGCAAAGCCCATTTGGAGAACAGGAAATATGGGACAATGTTAAGGCATGCGCATGGGACAAAGCACCAGGACCAGATGGATTTTCAATGGCTTGCTTCAACAATTGTTGGGATGTGGTAAAAAAGGAAGTTGTAGCAGCAATCCAAAACTTTTATGAGCAAGGAGTATTTGAAAAAAGTATGAATGCTACCTTTGTAGGATTGATTCCTAAGAAGGCAGGGGCAAAAGAGTTAAAAGATTTCAGACCAATAAGTTTGATCAATAGCATTTACAAGATTATCTCCAAGCTATTAACTGAAAGACATAAGAAGGTGGTCAAAAGCTGGTGGATCATCAACAAATGGCATTCATTAGGGGAAGACAGATCATTGATGATGTTCTAATAGCTAATGAGTGCATAGACACAAGTACTTCAAGCAAAGAACCTGAGATCCTATGTAAGCTGGATATAGAGAAGGCATATGATCATTTGAACTGGAAGTACCTTCTAGAAATTCTAAGAAGGATGGGATTTGGAAGGAGGTGGACTAGCTGGATAACAAACTGCATAACTACTGTGAGCTTCTCAGTCCTTATTAATGGAGCTCCAGTTGGATTTTTCCCACAAAGGGGGCTAAAGCAAGGGGACCTTCTCTCCCCTTTTCTATTTATCTTAGCCATGGAGGGACTGAATGAAATACTGAAGAAAGCATAGACAAACAACTGGATAAGGAGATTTAAAATGACCAATAGAACAGACAACAATAAAAGGATTTCCCATTTACAATATGCAGATGATACTTTGGTTTTCTGTGAAGCAGAAAGAGAGCAAATGAAAGTCCTAAGAGTGGTATTCATCCTGTTTGAAGCCACTTCTGGATTGCACATTAACTGGTAAAAAAGCCTTATTTATCCGGTTAATAAGGTAATGGATATACAAAGTCTGGCAAATGTTTTGGGG